TCCTCTTTGCAGTCACAGCTCTGGCCCTCCTCATCTACGTCCACAAGCAGCGGAGCCAGAACCAGAGGTGAGATGTGGGAACCCCGGAGTGCTCCCTGCCCCCTGCCCAGCATGCAGGAGCCCTCCCTCCCTTTCGGGCCCAGCCCCCTCCAACCTGAAACCCATCCAATGCATGATTCTCCCTCACCGATCCCTCCAGACCCATCGCCCCTCCATGCACCACATACCTGGCTGCAGGCAGCATATGCACATCCAGTGGGAAGTACCTGCCCCATGCTGCAGAAGGGGGGCTGCTAGGAGGTGACTAGTCGGCTCTCAGCTGATGGCAGGGCTGCCCTGATGGCCTCTCTTCCCTCCAGGACAGACTCTCACCCCAAGCCCAAGGTCATCTACACGGCAGCCACCACAGACAAGAACCTGGCATAGACGCTGTCCTGGTGCCCGGCCCGGGCCTCTAGCACGTGGACTGGAGACCAGCACACACACTGGGCCTCAGCCTGGCAGCCCTGCAGCCAGCCCAGCACGCCCTCCCTGCCACACAATGCACTCAGAGACTGTTCAGGGAGGGGCGCAACTCTGCCCCTTTCACCGATAGCTTATGAGCCAATAAGAAATAAAACCCTGCTGCTGCGCCAGCCCTGCCGGAGCGATCCCTCCGGAGGCTCAAGCATGTCCCTTCCTCGCGCTGTGGGCCCGACCTCGGAGCCAGGGCCCTTCACACATCAGGCTCCCAGGTGTGCCAATGCCATAGCACCAGTTCAGGGAGGGGCGCAACTCTGCCCCTTTCACCGATAGCTTATGAGCCAATAAGAAATAAAACCCTGCTGCTGCGCCAGCCCTGCCGGAGCGATCCCTCCGGAGGCTCAAGCATGTCCCTTCCTCGCGCTGTGGGCCCGACCTCGGAGCCAGGGCCCTTCACACATCAGGCTCCCAGGTGTGCCAATGCCATAGCACCAGGGCCAGAGCCCGTCCCTCCACCGCTGCAGAGGGCCAGTTGCTCACAGTTGCAGGAGTTAACTTGTCCTCAGCATGCCTTGCTAACGGGATGTGTGCCCGGCCTGTGGGGCCCACCAGCCTGCAGGGCTCATTGCTGGCTAGTGAAGAGCCAACAGGTCTTTCCCCCAGGGGGCAGCCCCCATCCCAACGTGGGGCTGCTGGGCCAGAGCCCGTCCCTCCACCGCTGCAGAGGGCCAGTTGCTCACAGTTGCAGGAGTTAACTTGTCCTCAGCATGCCTTGCTAACGGGATGTGTGCCCGGCCTGTGGGGCCCACCAGCCTGCAGGGCTCATTGCTGGCTAGTGAAGAGCCAACAGGTCTTTCCCCCAGGGGGCAGCCCCCATCCCAACGTGGGGCTGCTGCAGCTGGACTTTGGCTCCCTGTCCCATGCTGAAACGGTGGCTGCATTTCCAGGCAGGGGCAGCTCCGCCCCCACGCTCTCGGCTCACCTGGGCGGAGCAGCGGGAGGAATCACTGGGACAGGCAGGAGAGGGAGCTCCCCTGGTGTGGGCCTGGCCCCACATGCTACATGCAGCAGGACGCTGCTTGGAGCCCTGCGCTGTGGTACCGGCTGACCCCTAGTGGCCACGTGGAGTCCCTGCAGCGTTTCTACCCCAAACAGAGACCTCCCCCTCCCCGCACTGGCAGAGCCACCCCACAGACACACTGTTGGCAAACCAGCGCTCCCTTTCTGCGCCTCAGTTTCCCCCACTGTAAGACAAGGATAACAACCATGCCGGCTGCCTGCCTGTGAACTGGGCTGTGTAACTCTGCTCCCACAGAGGCACCCTCCCCCTCACTCCCAGCATGGCATGAGCACGGCCAACCTGAATTCTCTTGGCAGCTGGTATTTCTCTTTATTGATATAAAAGCCCATTGCAAACTCAGCCACTCTTGGCTCCCAGCCCAGGGGCTGCTGCACAGCTACAGGGACCCTGCTCCCCCTTCCACCCCGCAGCCCAGGGCTGGTGTCTGCTCAAGCATCTCATACCCACCCCCACAGGATGGGGGGAAGGGAGTCACTGAGCCTGCCCAGGCTGGTCCTCTGCTCCCCCCCCCCCCATTTGGTACAAGGCATGCAGCTACCGGCCCCCGTTTCCCATACCAGCATCTTGGCAACAGCCGTGTCACCCTTCACCCTCCCTCCCCCCTGCCAGAGCTGGGCATCTAGTCAGCCCAGCCTTTGTCCCTGCATGGCCACATGGGCCACCCACTCCCCCTCCATCTGTCCCAGGCTGGCACTGGGCAGCCTGGCCCATCAGCAGCCAGTCCCCAGGAGCTAGGGCTGGGCCTGCAGCCCCCTGCCCCAGCCACTCTTGGTGGGGGAAGGAAGCGACAGCTCCTCAGCTCAGCGCATGGACATTTCCTGGCAAAAGCCACTGCCCAGCGCCGCTCACTGGCCCCTCAGCCCGCCCTGCTCCCTCCTGGGGCTGAGCAGGAGAGCACCAAACCTCCCACATATGGGGCAGAATGAGCTCCTTCTCACACACCGGCTGTGGAGCAGACAGCAAGTTCTGGAGAACGCCTCAGGCACGTGAACCGTGTGTCTTAGAAGGGCAGGCTAGGCCAGTCACCATCCACAGCGTGGAGGAAGAGGGGCTGGCTAGCCGGCAGTCTGCTGGCTGCTCCCTGGCCACAGAAGTCCCCGTACACCTGTCTCCAGCAGGAACCGATCCAGGGACCCCCGACTGCAGAGAAGCAACAGTAGGTCCCAGCCGACAGCACCAGAGGGAGGGCCGGGCCAGCAGACAGCAGCTGAGGCGAGAGCGCCTGGTGGGCTCTCAGGATCCTGGCTGGGGACTGGTCTCGCTCTGCTGACCTAGGGAAAAGCAAAGGCGAGTGGGGAGCTCAAAGGGATCCAGAGCGGATCATTTCCCACCCCAGTATCAGGTACCCTGATGACTGGAGTGCTTGCCCACCCGCTAGTGCAAGGAAAGGGTAAATGTCCCTGCTGAAGGGGCTCAGATCAGCACATTGCCCCAGAGAAACCTGGGGTGAGACCCCCAAGCAGGTCCTGTCTCCCCCTAACACTGGGGCACCTCTCCTGGCTCCCCTGCCTCCCACCCTGGTCCCCTCTCCCGAGCAGATACTCACCCTGTAGGCGCTGGAGCAGGTTCCGGGTGCAGCCTCCTGAGAGGACGTAGGCCCATGCAGCCATGGCGAACATCAGCAGGTAGGAGGGGATGAGGCTGCCAACGTACAGGGGGTTCCAGAACGTCTGGGACGAGAGCAGCAGAGTGAGAGGACAGGTCGAGCCAAGGGAGCCCCGTGGATGGCCTGCGTGGCTCTGGCAGCTCCGCCCTTAATGCTCTAATCTCCTTCCCTGGCACTCGTGGCTCTGAAGGGGTGAGGCTGGTGTGGCCAGGGAGCCATGGGGTGCAACGGAGGGGAGGGGAGCTAATGAAATGCTGGGGTGGTTAGCCCCTCCCATCTATGACATGTCGTCTCACTGATGTGCATCAGGACAGCGCTGTCCCTTTATTGGCGACAAAGAGCTAGCGCCTGCCCTGAGGACTCTGCTCAGTGTGCTGTGATCTCTGCTGCCCTGCAGGCCTGCACCCCTCCCCTTTCAAAGCTCTGGGAAGTGTCTGACAGCTGAGAGAGCTGCTCTGTTTGGGGATCAAAGAACAAATCATTGGCCTGCTCCTGTTCTGCCGGGCACTACAAACACAGCAGCAGGCAGACTGCTGCTGCAGGGGGAGGAGGGCACACACTGTGCTGCTTTAACGTTCCTCAGCACGGAGCGCTCAAAGAGCTACTCAGGTGCCACTCTGCGCAGCTGAGGAGGCTGTGGGAGAACTCAGAGAGAATCCCAAGATGCAAAGGGATCAGCTCTGCCCTCCCACAACACAGCACTAAGGGTATGTCTACACTACAAAGTGAATTCGAAATAACAGCAGTCTACACAGGCAAACCGCTATTTCAAAATAAATTCGAAATAGTGGAGCCCTTATTTCGAATTTGGTGAACCTCATTCTACGAGGAGTAACACCAAATTCGAATAGCTATTTCGAATTAAGTGCTGTGTAGACACTTAATTCAAAATAGGGGGCCTCCAGTCCTTCCCAGGGAGCCCTGGTGGCCACTCTGGGCACAACCAGGAAAACTTACTCTCCTCTCCCCCAGCCCC